TGTCATTATTATTATTATTATTATTATTATTATTATTATTATACTGTTGTTGTTGTTATTATTATTATTATTATTATTATTATTATTACTATTATTATTATTATTATCACACTCATCATCGTCATAAAGGAATGGCGCATTCGAAAAAGAATAATTAATTGTTTTTTTTTATACCACTCCAGGTGGCGTTTTACATATAAACATTACTCAATGGACTACGAAGGAGACTTTACAATTAATAACAAATGTAAGTACAGTATTGAACATTTTGCATCGTTAATTCACTAGTTAAATGGAAATTCTGTTATCATTCTATGGTTATTATTTTGACTAAGTTTGTTAGGCAGCCGCATTGAAGGCATTTTGACAATTTCCTCCAAAGAAGCATGCACTGACATGCTGCATTCTATTCAACAACATAGGCCCTACATTCCCAGTGACTCGCTAAAACCACCAAAGACATGAAACTGGCTAAAAAAACGTTATTTAACAGTAATTAGGCAGCTTGGGGTTTGTTAACTACCGTTCATTGTTTACATTGTAGATTCGTATCTGTTTTTCCATTGACAATATATGCAATTTATTACCAAGAGCCTATAATTACCTGGTACACAACTTTTAATCCTGAATAATCGAAATTTGTTATAGCCCGACAAAAATATTTTCTATATTATTTTTAAAGGAAAGCGAAAGTGATCGAGGTAGGCCCAAATGACACCGTCTTTATCAATATTGATATTAATATCTTCATGGATGTGTACTTCCATGATGTCGATATCAAATAAAGCTACTACTGTAGTGACGGATACAGAAATTCGAAATAGAGGGGACCCAGGGGAGACTTTCACATATGGATTTATGATTATGTCACCTCAATGGTCCATGCTCTAGATGGTCGGAAACGACTTAAATATGAATACAATTTTCATTTTTTTCTCCATTTTCGAATTCATTTTTTAATAATTTAGGCGGTGGCCAGTTGTACACTTCCCCTTTTCGAATACCGGTATACGGAACAGTTGAGCATTTTATATAGGACTGTATAATAATAATAATAATAATAATAGGCCTAATAATAATAATAATAATAATAATAATAATAATAATAATAATAATTAATAAGAATAAGAATGATAATAGTAATAATAAGCCTAATGAAAATGTATAAAGTGCCGGTATCCGTTTAAGAGGAAACGCTCATGGCGCCCCTCCAAAAGAAAGTCGAAATGTGAAATAAATTTACAATACATTTGAAATACAGATACATTTTAAAAACCAGACATGAGCCGTACGTGGCTGAGAGTCTCTCTCTCACTCTCTCTATGTGGCCATGTGTGCACGGATATTTATTTATTTATATATTTATTTAATATTTATTTATTTATTTAATTATTCATTCATTAATTCATTAATTCATTCATTCGTTCATTCATTCATTCATTCATTTATTCATTCATTCATTCATTCATTTATTTTTTAATTTTTTTTAATTTTTAATTCTTTTTTTATTTTTTTATTTATTTATTTATTTATTTATTACCAATTCATATAGAATTACCAGACATATAGATGAATCATATGCAATGGATGAAATTACTTGGAGAGTACATATAGAGCAAGATATGGACAAGGCCCAACACCAAATGTAGTCTACTGATCATATGATAAAATGTAATTCATACATGAAAGTAAAAACGATACAAAAAAAGCCTGAATTTAAAAACAATGTTAGCATGGGCTCCCAGTTTTCAATAAAAGATAAGGCAGCAGACCATTTAACAGAAATCTAAATGTGTGGTGGGGTGCAATTTCTAAGAGGTCCACTTTTAAAAACCTATTATTTCACAAAATCGTTCCTAATTATCACAAAATGCTATAGCATGCATTGCATTATATATTTGCCAGCTCATCTAACCGTTGATTTTTAATATATGAAATTTGTTGGAAATTGATCATCTCCGGTGATTGCAGATTGATCTATAATATGAACAATGTTATCTGTAGGCCTCCTGCAGATAAACAGGACATAATAATGTTAGAGTACTTCTTCAGGTTCCAAAAACACCCAAATTAATTAAAATTTCAATAAAATATTCACGAATATGTGTTTGAGAAATCCATTATATAAGACCTTCAAAATGCTACTTTGTCGGAACTCCCATGTGGCTTTTCTCACAAACCCACTCCAGGCCTCTGCCCCTGGACCACCAAATTTCAAAAAGTCCACTTTTTAAAACCTATTATTTCATTAAAATCTTTCCTAATTATCACGAAATACTATAGTATTCATTACATTGTTTTGCCGTTGATTTTTAATAATGTGCTGCGGAACCTGTTGAAAATTATCAGCTCCAGTGATTGCAGATTGATCCATGTCATCTGTAGGCCTACAGATGTAAAGGAAACAAAAAGTTACAACTTCATAGTGGCGGATTCGGGGAGGGGTGGGGGGAAGAGAGCCCCCCTAAAATTATAAAAGAAATGGAGAAAAAAGCAAAATCATAGCCTAATTAAATTTTGTCTGAGAGTGCCATTTCCGGCCATCTAGAGGTGCCATAATCATAAATGTTCTTACCTTAGCCCCAACCATGGTGAGGCTGAAGGGTGTTCACCATTCGTCTGTGAAAGTAGGTAGGGGCCTACCTTACTGCACCCTACCCTCTATTTTTCCTGCTTTAAGTCCCTAAACAATACCCAAGTGAATAAAAAATTAAATAGAATATTACTAATTATGGTTTTCAGAAATCCATTATAAGGCCCTCAAAATGCTAATTTGTTGGAGCTTTCGGGGATTCCCCCCCCCCCCACACACACACACTCTCACGGGGATCTCTAGGCGGTTGCCCATCATAAGGTCCGCTTCGGTCGCAAAACGCATCTCCCCATCGCAAATCCTGCCTACGTTCCTGTGATAGCCAATCCAATTGTGGTCAAAAATCACATGGGCGATCCTGTACCGTAAGATTTCTCTCCATGAACCTCACCCCAGGGATTTTATTCTGGGACCCTGAACAAGGCTCTAGGCATCCTCTTGTTTTAGACCCCGATCAGAATTGTTGGACCCCATATCGACATTTTTCTCATTCTTCCTGATTTTACGAAAAAAAAATCCTTACATCGACACTACCAGCCAATTTAAGAGTCTATGTATAAATAAGAATATAGCACTGGTATAATTTAACTGTCTGTTAATTAACAGGAAAGCAATTTTGTCATTCATATATTTAATTGTAAGTTTGTAACTTACTTAGATATAACTTTCTTAAATATAATTATTTAGTTATGGAATTAAATTGTTTATCTTTCAGCTCAAGACAGACAGTGTATAAATTGGACCTCATTGGAAATGGGCTGGACTCCGGCCTAATGGGCGTTCCTGATGCTCATTACGGTAATTTTTACTTTTCTTGATTTCAATCCATTTGTTATCTTGCTTATGCATGTTGAGCATCGAATAAATTCAATCAATCAATCAAAAAATATTATATCATGAAAAATGTTTGTATGAAGATTATAGTTAAAGTAATCTATATATTCATTTCTATTGTATTTTTATAAATTTTATTTATCCATGACAATCGGAATGCTAACATAATTTGTTTGCGCTATTGCGATCTACAAGTCCTACCCAATGTCATGTATTGGTATGATGTTACTATAAATAATTAATATTTAATATGATAATGCTGATATGATAAGAATTCTACCCAATGCCATGTATTTAATAATCCTCACATCATTCCGTGGTATGATGTTTTTATAAATAATTAATATTTAATATGATAGTGCTGATATGATAAGAATTCTACCCAATGCCATGTATTTAATAATCCTCACATCATTCCGTGGTATGATGTTACTATAAATAATTAATATTTAATATGACAATGCTGATATGATAAGAATTGTGAAGTACTATTATGTTGTATCAGCAGCATTGTCCATTGCGATAACTGAATACGATAATATTCAGGTTGGAGTGCTCCCCTTGGGGGGGGGGGGGTGGGGATGGCAGCCGGCCTGCCATCTCCCCACCCTAAATATTTTAAAATGGTAAAAAATTTGTGAAAAACGAAAATTACATTCAAATTTAAAATCTGAGAGTGCCATTTCTGGCTATCTAGAGGTGCCATAATCGAGGTTTCTTACCTCAGCCCCACCATGGTTGGGGCTGAGGTGGTGGGAACCCTTCATCTGCCCCCCCCCCCCTATTTCAAACCTACTGGCTCTGCCTCTGTTTTTATTTATATATTATGTTTTGACGATACTTCGTTATAATTCTTTCTCTGTTTCCTAATCTTTTCTCAATATTTTTCTATTCCAGTGATGTAGACAAAGAAGCCACAACTAGGGCCTATCAGGAAAGAATGTGCGGACTCAATCGTGAAAGGGCAACAGAACTTACCAATTAGACCTATTCATAGATAGCCAAATATGTTGTCACTCATCAAACTTAAGCTTCCTGCAAAAATTCTGGACATGAAATTAATTAAAATATAGTGTAAATTTTATTTTTTAAATGTTTCCTCGGCAATAATCTCAAACATAATGTTAGCAATATGTAGTCATTCTTGTTGGCTTTATGTTTATTAATATTGTATTATTACTGCAATGTTTATCTTATTAATAGAGAAAGTAACCCGTTTGTTGTAAAGAGTAAGATAATAAGATATAACATTTTGAGGATTAAAATCAGATTTAGTGGTTTTTGCCGGATGTACATGATATAGGCCTACAGTATATGAATATAAAATGTATATATATATATATATATACATATATATATA